TACATATTTTTATTTACATATAAGTAAGAGGATACAAAGAAAGGTAAGAGGCAGTCCCAGATTTTGAGGAGGTCATAATCTACTAGGGAAGACAATATGCAAACAACTGTGCACAAATAAAGTAGGTAAAGGATAAACTGGAAGTGGTCACAGTGGGAAGGCAGTAAGATTAAGGACTGGGAAAAGCTTTTTGTAGAAGGTGAGACGTGTGGCTGAGACATGAAGGAAGAAGGGAAGCCAGGAGGTAGAGATTGAGGAGGGCAGCCAGGAAAAATTCCTACAGCAGAGAGATGGAGTGTTCCCTAATTGATCAATGGTCAAAGGATATGAGCAGGCAGTTCCCAGATAAAGAAATTAAAGCAATCTATAGTCATATGAAAAAATGCTCTAAATCACTATTGATTAGAGAAATGCAAATCAAAACAACTCTGAGGTGACACATCACACCTATCAGATTGGCCAACATGACAAAACAGGAAAATGATAAATGTTGAAAAAGATGTGGGAAAATTGGAACACTAATGCATTGTTGGTGGAGTTGTGAACTGATCCAACCATTTTGGAGAGCAATTTGGAATCAGGCCCAAAGGGCTATAAAAATGTGCATACCCTTTGACCCAGTAATAGCACTTCTAGGGCTGTACCCCAAAGAGATCATAAAAATGGGAAAAGGACCCACATGTACAAAAATATTTATAGCAGCTCTTTTTGTGGTAGCAAAGAATTGGAAACTGGGAGGATGCCCATCAATTGGGGAATGGCTAAACAAGTTCTGGTATATGAATGTAATGGAATACTATTGTGTAAGAAATGATGAGCAGGCAGACTTCAGAAACACCTGGAAAGACTTGTATGGTCTGATGCTGAGTGAAGTGAGCAGAACCAGGAGAACACTGTACACAGTAACAGCAACGTTGTGAGATGACTAATATTGATAGACTTAACCCTTCTCAGTAATGCAAGGATCTAAGACATCTTCAAAGGCCTCATGATGGAAAATGCTATCCACATCCAGAGAAAGAACTATGGAGTTTGAATACAGATCAAAGCATACTTTTTGCTCTTTTTTTTTCTTCTTCTATGTTTTGTTTTCTCTTTCTGGTGGTTCCTCCTATTGGTTCTAATTCTTCCTTACAACATCACTAATGCGAGAATGTGTTTAATAGGAATGTATATGTATAGCCTATATCAGATTTCGTGCTGTCTTGGGGAGGGAGGTGGGGAGGGAGGTGGAGAAAAATTCAAAACTCAAAAACTTACGGAAGTGATTGTTGATAAACCAAAATAAATTAATAAAGTTTAAAAAACAAAAAAATTTAAAAAAAGAAAGATGGAGTGTCTTATTTGAGGAACAGCAAAAGGGTCGGGGTCACTGGATGGAAGAGTACATGGGGGGAAGGGTGTAAGAAGAATGAGCAGGTGTTATGAAGGTTTTGGAAAACCAGAGGATTTTACTTTTCCTCCTAGACCTCAGTTTCAAGAGAATCACTTGAGTTTGTTAAGTAGGGAGAGACCTGCACTTTAGGAAGATCACTTTGACAGCTAAGTGGAAGATGGACTGGAGTGGGGAGAGATTTGTCCTAGGCCATTTCAGGCTATTACAATAGTCCAAGTATTGGATGATGAGAGCCTGCGCCAGGGCAGAAGTCGGCATATTCCAGAGATGTTCAAAGGTGAAATTGTCAGGCCTTGGCATCATATTGGAATGGCAAGAGGAGGGGTGAGCTCTAGTGAAGAGCTGAAGACGACACCTAGGTTAGGAGTCTGAAAAACTGAGAGATTGTTAGTACTCTCGATTATGATAGGGATGTTTGGAAGGAGGGATGGTTTTGGGTGAAAGATAAGAGTTCAGTTCTGGATGTGTTGAGTTTAAGATGTCTATGAGTCTAATAGGCAGCAGGAGATGGGAGACTAGAGGTCAGCAGAGAGATAAGGCCTGGGTAAAGAAATTCAAAAATCATCAGCATAGAGATGTCAAGTGAATCCATAGGTCAGTGATGGGACTTGAATTCAGATCTTCCTTACTGCAAACCTGGAATAATAACCATTGATTGCTCTAAGTTTGCCTCTCATTTTGCAGATAATGAACACTGAAGTTTCAAAATACTTTGATTGTATCATAAACCAGTTTAAATTCCCTAGACAGAGATAGAAGGGTACATTGAGATCTTTTAACTGCTGCAAGAAGAACAATTGCTGCAGTTTCTTTGATTTTTATAATTTCTCCCCCTCCTGCCTGGTATGTGTAGAGTTCAGGACAGATGACGCATCTTAATAGGTCCACTGTGGCATAAAGAGCCTCGGGGAGGACTGTAGGGATAGATGTTTTGAGCCTGGCTTATTGAAAGGTTTTCCTGGGACACGGAGCCTGACGCTAGCTTCCTGGTCTACCGTTGCATTCTTGAGGATGGCTGCTTAAAATAGATGGCCTCAGACTGGCCCTGTTATGTAATCCTGCTTCACTCTGCTGGCTAACGGACACTACCATAGAGCTGCTGCCTTAAGGCCTTCGGGAAATTCCTTGGGCTCAGCCAGACTTGCTGAACAGATGCTGGGCACTCAGCCTGTGTAGTGTAGGTATCACAGGCTTTGGACCTCCATGCCGCAGAATTAGGACCAATGGGTGGAAACAGGGCCCTAAGTAGGAATTTTTGTGTTAGAGACAAGTTCCAAAAACCTCCATAGAGACAAAGAGCATGAAACGTGCTGTCAGTTGGGTGGGGGCTGTGGGAACAGTATGGTAGGGAGGTAGGCAGAGTTTTTGGGATATCTGGATTAAGGTTGCTGTTGGTGAGTCAGGCCTGATGGGCCAGGTGGATTAGGGATGGAGCTTTCCCAGCTCATTTGATAGCCTTCCTATAACTAATGATTCTTGCTACTAGGTGCTGTTTGGTTATTTCCCCACCATCGAAGGACTGTTTGTCATTGTGATCAGCATCGTTTAACACTGATGCCATGAGCCAAAGCTCTGATTATACTGCCTTAGGTCTGGCTCTGGGAAGAATTGAAGGTGATGGAAAATTCGACTAAATATAGAGGAAGGTTCCTAACAATTATAGATGTTCAATCATGGAACCTGTTGCCTCGTTAGGCAGTGAGCTCCCTATAAACGTATTTAAGTAGAGGTTTGATGGCCTGCAGGGAAACTCTCCTGGAGATTTTTCCATGGGGTAGGATGGTGGACTAGATGGTTTTTTAAGGTGATGAAGAGATGGCATCATGGCATACACTACATTTGAAGATACCTTGGAGCTTAATCCTCTTTTCTGACCTTGGGTAGGACACATCTCATTTCTGGGCCTCAGTTTTCTCAACAGTGAAGTGATGGGGTTGGACCAGATGGTCTTTATGATCTTCTCCCAACTGTAAATCCTGTGATCCCTTTTTATCTCTTAAGATTCCCATAGCAGGATTTGCTGAGTGAGAGGCCGGAGACTTAGAAAGGCAAGTAATAAATAATATCCTGCATCGGGGTCTGCCCTATGCAAAATCATGAAGTAAATGAATTTTTCCAGTTTTCCTGTTCTGACCTATCCAAACCCCCTTCCCCAAAATATGCAAACCAGATTAAAATATCCAGCATTTGGCACATAAAAGACCCATAAACGTTTAAGTGAAGGAATAAGAAATCATAAGATCTAGCCTCATTCTATCAACTGAATTAAATTTAATAAATATTTATTAAGTATCAAGTAAGAGAATGAGAAGGAAAAAACAGTACTTCCCCCATTTTACCTATGAGGAAACTGAGTTTCAGAGAGCCATGATTTCATTCCAACTCACCCTGCCAGTTATCGACCAGCACAGAGATTAGAAACCAAGTTTCCTGCCAGCCAAGCCGGTATTTTTCCCCATTACGCTACAGTGCCTCCAAAGTGAGTCACCTATCTTTGACCTTATCAGGTTCCTCGGACAGAAAATCTGACAAAACCTCTGGTAAAACCCTCCAAATGCCGCCCTGCTCCCCTCTACCAAGGGGGAAGATAGGCACCAGACTGAGTTTCCTCCTCCCCCAATATCTTGGATGGTGTTGGGGCAGGGGGTGGAAAGCAGGCAGGAAGGAATAGTTTCTGATGGACACTCTAAGATCGCATCCTTCTCTGAGATGCTCCTCTCCAGCCCCCACCCCCTCCACCCCCCGCTGGGATCCAGGAAGCACAAGGCAGGGGGGTGAAATCTGCATCCTCAATCCGGGCTACTCCCTTTTCTCCCTTTGCCTGGGTCTGCAGACCCACTGGGCTCTGGGCCCCTTGAGAAGGCCACCTGCCCGGTGTAAGACATAAACCCCAGGACCACTGGGGTTCGAATCTCGCCCCTGCTGCCCTTTGAGACCTTGGACAATTCACTTCCCCTCTGATGGCCTCAGTTTCCCCATTTGTAAAAAGAGGATCGTTCAAGTCCCAGCAGGAGCGAGCGGGTCTAAGCTTTCATCCCCGCCCCCCTCTTTTGCCAGCAGCCGAGGCGGAGGAGCAGCTCGGCAGCTCGTGCAGGCATCCCCAAGGCTGGCCGCGGGAGGGGAGGGGGGAGGGCAGCTGAGGACAGGAAGGGAGAGCCTAAGGGGGCGGGGGAGGAGAGAGCGGCGCGGGGAGGGCCCTCCGGGGCAGTGCGTGCCGCTCGGCCCCGCCCCCTCGCGTCGGAGGAGTGGTTTCGCCCAGCCCCTGGCTCATTGTGCTCGCCTCACGCCGGCCCAAGATGGCGGCGGCGCTGGAGACCCGGGGGCTGTAACTACAAAAGAGCCAGCGAGCCAGCTAGGGAGGGAGAGAGGGAGGGTGGGAGAGAGCGAGCCTGCGGCCCCGCCGCCGCCTCCCCCGCCAGTCGTGACTCCCGGGCCTCCGCCTCCCCCTGCCCCCGCTCGCGCCCCTCCTCCCTCGTTGCCTGCCCGCCCCCAGCCGCCCTCCCTCGGCCAACCGTCCCCGCGGTCGCCCGCCCGCCTGCCCGCCTGCCCGCCCGCCGGCCCCGCTGCGCCCGCCCCGCGCCCGCGCCCACTAGTATGGTGCAGCGGCGGCCGCGCTCGCGATCATGGGTGAGAAGCTGGAACTGAGGCTCAAGTCGCCCGTGGGAGCCGAGCCCGCCGTGTACCCGTGGCCCCTGCCGGTCTATGTGAGTATCCGCGCCCCGGCCCCGCTGTGCCCTGCGTGTGCGTGTGCGAGCGTGCCCCTCGCCCGACCCCGCGGGGTCGTGAGTGTGCGTGTTCCCCGGCCCCGCCGGGCCCTGCGTGTGGACCTGTGCCCCCAGACCCCTGCCCCGCAGCCCTCGGGCGCCTTCCTCCAGGGCGATCTGCGTCCTCCATCGTCCGGGTTCCGGGGCTGCCCCTTCGCTTTCTCCGAGCCCCCCACCCCAGCCCCGGACAACCCTCTCCCCAAACTTAGCGGCTCCTGCCAAACCCCTGCCCTGGCTGCCTTGCTCGTGCCCCGCAGCGAGCCTCCCTCCCCTCACCCCCCCGCCCTTTGCTTCCAAACTCCACTCGTCCCCCTTCTCATTGCTAGGCTCCTGCCAAGCCCCTTGCTTGGGCTCCCACCCTCATGCCCTTGAGCACCCTCTCTCCGGTCCCCCACCCCAGCCCCCTCCGCCAACAAAACTTCTGGCCATACCACTTGGCTCACAGTCCCACTCTCTGAAGGCTCCGTAAACCCCTTCGATTCAATTGAGTCAATCAATCAGTCAATCAGTAAACATTTATTAAGTGCTTACTGTGTGTCAGGTAGTGTGTGCTAAGTCAAACCTTCTGGACGACCTCTTCTAGCTCCCATTCTTTAATTGCCCGTTCACCGTCCCGTTCCCCCCCCCCCAGCCCCCTTCAGGTCCCTTTCAGTTCGGTACATTCCCCTCCTGAATTCATCCCCCCAAGCCCTTAGGCTCCTGGTAAGCCCTTTATGGGGTTTCCACCCTTTTGCCCCTTTGGATTTTTCCTTAATTCCATACATGTTCCTCCCCACCCTTGGCTGTATCTCTGCACTCCTTTTCTTCCCAAGACCTCTCTTGCTGTGTTTACCTGCTTCGGGCTCCCCCCCCCCCCCATTCCCTAGACACTAAGCGGTTTCTGCCTTGTCCCGGGCAACCCCCCTCTCATTCTCCCCTTGCACGTCTTCCACGCCCAGAACATTTACCACCCACCCACCCCTTCCCTTCCTCTCCCTGTCCA